AGCCATCCCTCAGTCCACAGAGATCCTTCAACCAAGCAGCCTGGGTCACAGGGCCATCATGAAGCAGAAAGGAGCTGGTTCTTTCTTGTAGGAAGGTGGGCCCCACTTTTTGGGCCAGAGCTGAGCGATGAGCAGCAATGTCTCTTTTCTCCATAGGCAGCTTCCAGAAGTGGCCCTTTTATTCCAGTGCTTGGAGAGTTGGCTATGTAAATTATTAACACAGACAATGTAAGAAAAACCCCCCAACAGTTTTCTAATGTAATTATTTCCCATTTTACTGTTTTTCCATGTCCATATTTTTATAACCAGCATGGTGCAAGCTCTATTCAACATTTCAAAACAGTTTCTTAATATCTTCTATTTTGGACATTTGAAAGCTGTCTGGGCCCATGAGACAAGGAGGATGGCCTCTGACTTGAGGGGTTGGTATTTCTGGAAGGTGAGGGTCTGGTCTGGAATCTATGGGCCATAATGCAAAGGGCTAAAGCACAAGTCCTACTCCAGGCCTCCACGTCTATTTGCCTCAAATAGTCATTGATTTCTTTGGACAGAAACCAAAGCCTGTTTCTCCACGTGTTCCTCACCCTGGGAGAGCGGGCTCAGAGGGCAGTGAGGCAGGGAGGTCAAGGGAAGAAGAGGCGGGCTACTGCAGCAAGTTTCCTTGGACTGAGGGAAGGCATGTTCACTTTTTCCACTTCAACAGTTGGGCTGATGTGTGAGTCTAGGATCTGATGGCCACATTGGCAGAGGAGGAGGGCAGGCACATGGGAGGTGGAGATAAAAATAGTGACTGTGTTTAGCCGGCATTTTAAGTTACTCTTTTGAATTAAGCATGGGACTGAGAGGAAATAGAATGTATTTTTGGTAGCAGAAGACAAAACTGGGCCTCTTTGGCTTCCGGCCAAGCTCAGGTCCCAAAGGCAGAGAGTCTTGGGGCTTTGCTCAGGCACAGCTGAAGTCAGTCATGGTTTTGGTACATGGTGGACACAAAGAACTAGGGAGAAGGTTTTGGAGTGACTAGGTCAGCTGTGGGGCAGAACCTCAGCCTTGGCAGTGTGGATCTCACACAACCATCCTGGGGCCTCCAATAGGAGGGGACAAGGATTTCTGTAAACCAATGTGGCCTGGTGGACACTCGGGGGAAATCCTGGCACCATTTGTGTGAATGCTGGTGCCTGGCTGTAGCTTCCACATTGTTTAAGCTCTCTCTGGCTGTTCCCTCACCCTCTCAGCTCAGCATCTCCTCCTGGCAGAACTCCACTTGTCCGGGGAAGAAACAGAAAATGTGCCCCGGACCAAGGTAGGGACAGGGAGCATTCTTGGAGGTGAATAGGTTAGTTTACTCCCTCCCAGAAGCAGGAGCCATGAAAGAATTAGATAGGCAAGAGTTTTATGGGGAGTTGGGGAAAAGGCCTGCGAAGGATAAATAGGAGGGAACAGGAGTAGGAGAGGAGACCCCAGGAGTTTAATGGCTCATAAAGGAGGGAGGGGAGGAAGAAGGGATAATGGGAATCTTGGGTTATGACAAAGTTCTGAAAACACCCAAGCAGGCTGAGGTGGAACCCTGAGCTAAGATGGTTTGTCAGGACCCCCACCTGTCTCTGGAGCCCACTGTGCTCCGTCTCTGCTGGGAACGTGATCCTGTGATCACAAAGTTACAGCAGCCGGAGGCCACCAGCCAGCCAGCTCCCCAGCGGATCGGGAAGATCGGAGCCTGTGCTGCCATGAATGTCAGTTTCTTCATTTGCTCTTTAATTGATTCACTAAATACTCATTGAGCCTCATGACAGTCAGATCCGGAGCTGGTTACTGGGAACACAAGTAAGAACTAATATACAACATTTACAATGTGCCAGGCTCTGTTCTAAAGGTTTTCCAATAGGTTAAGCCATCGAATCCTTGCAATGACTATAAGAGACCATTAGCAGTGTCTATTGTTCAGATGAGAAACTGCCGCAAGGGAAGATGAAGCATGTAACTTGCTCAAGGTCATATACTAAGTGACCCTGTAAGTGTCCTTCTATAACCTTTGCCCACAGCTATCGTATTTCATCTAATTTAAGGCACTGCCTATTGTAAGACATGTGACTGTATGTGACATTAAGAAAAAAGCACGGTCAGTTAACTTTGACATACCATTATTGTTAAGGTGTATTCTCAATTTCAGAGATATTAAAATGTGAACTGGTAGCTGTCACCCAAAGGTGCCATGCCTGTTCTCAAGGAAGTCCCAGCTAAGCAGGGAGTGCAGGCCTGAGCATCACTGAGAGAAGGGATGAACAGCTGCAATGCCAAGAGGAGAAAATCATCACTCAGGCCTGAGGTTGTCTGGGAGCCCCTCACAGCCGATTTGGCCTCTGCCTTAGGGTTTCTCCAAATAGAGAGGGAAGGGTGGGATTTGGAAGTGTATTTTAAGAAGCTATGGTTGATAATACTAATGCTAATAATCACATAGCAGTAGCTAAGAATAGCTAATAACTTACTGAATGCCTACCATATCCTGGGTGGGACTGTGATAAGGGCTTTTCCTTCGTCACCACATTTAATCCTCTCAGAAGCCCTGAGAAAGACCCGCTAGACCAGGGGAGGAACCTCCTGTTCAGGAGGTTAACTGATTTACCCCACCGCGCAGCTGGTGGATAAGGAAGCCCAGTAAGGATCTTGGCAGCATGGCTCTCAAGTCTCAGCTGTACTCCACACTGCGACCCACCTCCCAGGAGGGTGTTAATGATGAGATGTGCTCACTGAGTCACTCTCACTACTCTGTTTCTGAGGAGAAGCCCAAGTGAGGGCTGGATGTGGCCAAACACAGGGCTGAGGAGAAACCTCTGTGCGTCTCCACTTGTGCCGAAATCGGGCTGGGAGGTTCTGGAAGTGTTGGCACATAACTGGGACCTCTCAGTCAGTTTGACTGTCCAGTGTTGGCTAAAGTTCACTCTGAGAGAAGGTCTGTGCTGGGCACCTGGAGGTCACTGAAGGAAGTGCTGGGCTGAGTGCCAGATGTTGAATGAATGCTCACGACATGGGGTGGCCTTGCTGGCCTGCCTGATCTGGGTCTTCTTTCTCACCCAAACATCACCTCCTGTCTCCTTCCTGTGCTCGCCAACTTCAGTCAGCCTGGCCATCTGCCACTTCCTGGAGGAAGTCAAGCTCCTTTCATTGCTGTTTCTTGAACATACCTCTGCCTGGAATGTTCTCCTACCTGCCTGCCTCTTTCACACGGCCGGCCTTTTCTCTTGCTTTAGGTCTCAGTGTACAGGTTGCCTCTTCTGAGACAACCTTCCTGTTATTTTCTGTCACGGCACTGTGTTAATTTCCTTCCCAGGATCTTTCACAGTGTGTAACTAGTTCTTTATTAGTTTTCATCTTTGGGGACAGAGGCTTTGCTGACTGATGCCGCCCAGCAGTGAGCGTGGGGCCTGTCACACAGAAGGAGCTCCAATTTGGACCGAACAAATAGATTAGTTGAGAATCTGATGACAGAGTCAAGATGTACACCTGACAGAACACAATGAAGGGCTGAGCTGCTCACAGCATGGGAGATAGCCATGGGGTGTGAGTTTTTGAGAGTCGAACAGAGTGGGCGGAATTCAGAGTTCAGGATGACCAGGGACAAAAAACCACTTGGAGGAGAAAAAACAGGCTGTGAGGGGACAAAAAGCAATTTTCTGTTTCCAGTAGCTTTGAAGCACCTTTGTTTTCAGTGTCTGGAATCATCTAGCTTCCTAGCCTCCTGGACACCTGCTTTGACTCACTGGAACGTGGGGCTGAGACTGTAACAACAGGGCGTCTGGCCTCCGCCCAGCATGTTCTTCTGGGTTCTCTCAGGGGACCCAACCCCACACTGAGACTGAACTCACACGGGGCTCCTTAGCATAGGAGGAAGGATGTCCCGGCAAAACTGATAAGGGTGCCATCCTCGCTTTGACTTTGTATCTGGGACAAAGTGACTCCTAGTGTCCAGAAAGGCTTTCAGATCGCCTTTATTTTGGAATTCTTTCAAGGTTTTTAGAAGTAGAGATAGACCTCACCAATTACAACATGTTCTCTCAACTGTTCCTTTCTTGTCTCACATAGAGATAACAAAACACAGCATTTAATTCGCTCACTGAATTATGTATGTCTACACTTTGCATTTCATGATTTCCATACCATACATCTGGAAAGTAAAGGTCAAGACTTTTGTTCCCATTTTATACATGTCCTGGTTAACATTCTATAGACAGTTATTTATCTTAATTATCTAGAGAGCCCTCTGTCTGTAGAATGTGTACTCCCTTGCTACTGTTTCTTCAGATGCTTGCCCCCCCCAACACATCGAGCACACATTCTAGCTCCTTGAGGGGAGGAGATGGCGCCTTATTACCCTTGCTGCTCTTGAACAGAATCTGCAATAAGACAGATGCTTGGTGAATACTGAATAAAGATGGAAGAGTTCCAAAACTTTACAGTGTATCAGTTCTTTGCTCTTCTTAGCAAAGCAAGTTCCCTCAGTTTACCTGAGCCCAAAATTGTCACCTGTTAACCATATAAACCAAAATGCATCTTTCTTGTCAAAGACTATTAAAGAACAGAACTCTTGTTTTAGCCTTGACTAATCTGTGACTTAGTTTGGAAAGCTTCTCCATACCCCAAATTAGACATGATTGAAGAATTTTAAAAAAACTAAAATATAACTTTTGGTTATAGCAGAACAATTTAAAAACTAAACAAAAAACTTTGACAGAAATTCCAACATTTTTAGAAGGTTCTGGCTATTTCAGAGTTTGAAATGAATATTAATCACTATGTTTTGACCAAGGACAACACCATGCAACAGAGCTGGAAGTGAAGTCATCTGGGTATGTCTTCTGGAACCCTGCCCTGAATGGTTTTCTCTTTGACGTTTGTCTACTTCTTTAATACAGCTCAACATTAGTAATGCTCACAGTCTTTTTATAAAATCATGTTTAGAATATAAAGGCAGCATGGAAAAAGGCTCAGGGTGAGGGAAAGGAGAGAGAAAAAATAGCAAGCCTTTAGTGAAGGTAAGAAGGCATTCACTCTGCTAGTGTATGGTAAGGCCTCACAAGTTACCGTGAAGGGTGGCATGATTTGTGCTCCCCATGTTAGGAGACTCTGCATTATCTAAGGGTCACCTTCTTCAGGGCCACATTCTATTCACTTCATCCACAAATAACTTCTTATGACTTTGTTTTCCCTAAGAAACAATAAGAAAGTATTGATAACAATCACTATAACTTCTGTTCTTGCAGTTTCTTTTCCATTAATCTTCTGGTTCAACAGACTCCTATCAGAGCTTCAGGAAGAACTTTGGCTGTTCCCAGGCTCCAAGTTCAAGGACTCTTTCACCTAATGATTACTAAGTAAGTGTTTACTGTAGTGTTTACCCATTTTGGACCATTCTTGTCTCTGGTATTTTACCACGCCAAAGCCTGACCCTAAGATTAAATGGAAAATATTTTAAGGAAACAAGATCAAAAAAGTTGTCTCTATGAGGCCAGATCTGTGGAGCTGCAGAGACTTGGTCAAATCTCCCCAACAGCTGGGAACAGTCAGTTGAGTGCTGTAGAATTCATAAACCATGTTAAGAGTTTTGGTGTCCTGGAAAAAGCTCCAAAATGTTCCAATCATTAAACTACTCAAATCACTTTCAGATGAGCAAATTCAAGACAAACATTACCAATTTTTAAACCACATCAGATGTTCTAAGAAAAAAGTGGAAAACAATAAAGTTGAATGATCTGTTCTTACCCCATTTGCTTATGCAGGTGATTTCAAATTTAGTACAAGCAGAGGACAGTCACAGACATCTCCAGTACGTCTGCCCTCAGAGACAAAAACATGAATACATAGGAACCCTGGGCCACTGATTCAAAGGAATTGATCTTTGAATAGTTCTGCTTACTAAAGTGGTTGAAGCAGGACAGCTAATATGTGCTAGACTCTTAGTAAACGTTCACTCACTTGATATATGATTGCATAAATAAAGGACATCTGACAAATAATAAGATGAAGAATAAGACACTTTGAAAACTTTAAAGTTTTCTCAGGCTCTATTGAAAAAAAGAAGAAACAATGGCCAAAAGAGTAAGAGGAAGGCTTGAAGTCAGAAGGGATGACAAAAGTTAAAAGAGAAAGTTAAAAGAAGGAGCAAGTGTTTGCCAAGGAGTAATGCAGGAAGAGGCCTTGAAAATAGAACTGATGAGTGTCAAGTAAATTTAACAACAAATTGTCACCTGGGTGACACTACAGGCAATTTGCATATAAGATTAACTCGATAGTCTCTCAGATCACCCCTTTTCTACTTATCTTGCAGGGGGCTGGATTTAATCCTAGGGGATAGAATCTAGCAGAAGGGATGAGATACTATTTCTAATATTAGTAAGCAATAAAATCAGGGCCTCTATCTTAGGCTTCCCTTTCTTGTTGCCTTTCAATTGCTTGTTGCAGGAGAAGCCAACTGCCATGCTGTGAGCTACCCTAAGGAGAGAGTCACATGGGCAAAAGGAAAGAAAAGCCCTGATATTTTTGGTTAAGAGCCAATGAGGACCCAAGGCCTGCCAACAGCCATGTGTATCCAAGTACACTCCTGCAGTCACTTACTATGTTAGGAATATGCAGTCGTATGGAGTACTACTCCGTCATCAAGGAGGATAAACTTGAGGCATTTTTAGGTAAATAGATGCACCTCAAGACCATAATTTTAAGTGAAATAAACCAGACACACAAGTTTAAATCTAGCATTGTTTTCCTTGTGTGAGAAACTCAAAGGGTAAATAAGGAACAAAATGGAGGATAGATATTGGCAAGTAGGAAGAACATGTTCAAATGGGAAGGGGAACAAAGGAGGAGGAAGGGAAGAGAAAGGAAATTTTAAAAGAGAATGGAAGAGAAAAAGTGGAAACAAAGCTTTTTATAAATGGGGGTGGGGTGGGGAGAAGGGTTGTAGGGAGAGGTGGGGAATGGGAAAAAAGACATATTATGTACAGGTACAAATTCCCTATGATAAATGTGATTGTTATGTACGGCAAATATGTATTAATAAAACATACATGAAAAAGGGCTTTCCTTGAGTCTTTGCTGAGTACTATGCTGCATGTCCATAATATGTGGGATTCAACCAGTCCTGACCTGGAATAACCAGAGTTGTAAGCTGACGAATTCCTAGAGTTTATATAGGGTGGGGAGAAGTCTGCACTCTGAGCAGCCATGCTGAGGAGTTCTGTTTGATCACCTACTATCTGAGTGAAGATCTAAGAGGAGTCCCTTTGCAGTAATAGGTCTGTATCCTTCTTGGGATGAAGAATACTCTAGACCCACCCTAGAAAAGTAAAAAAATACTGCCGCTAGAGGGACAAAACAGATTACCACATAACTGGTTGCAAAATAAAGCCCAGAACCCTTTAAAGGGCTACAATAAAATGCAGACACTCAACAAGGAAATATTTGAAATGTCCAACATTCAATCAAAAATTGCTAGGTATGTTAAGGAGAAAAATTTGACACAGGAGGAGCAGACAGAAACAGAATTGAAAATAATAGACATAAAAGAACTAGCAGACAAGGATGTTAAGTAGCTATTTTAACTATATTCAAGTATTTAAAGGAAAAAATGTAGGGAGAACAATAGAATATATAAGAGATCAAGTGTAAATTATAAATGAGCCAACATATATATTTAAAAATTTACTTGATGGAATTAATAGGCAATTAGGCAACACAGAAGATAAATAAACTTGAAGACAATATAAAAATCAACCCAACCAAAGCAGAGAGAGACAAGAATTTTAAAATTAAACAGTTCAAGCAAATGAGAAGCCAAGCCACATAATGGGAGAAAATATTTGTGAAAGATATTTCTGACAAAGGAATGTAATCCAAAATATACAAAGAACTCTTAAAACTTAGCAATAGAGAACCCCTATTAAAAATGGACAAAAGATCTGAACAGATCTCACAAAAGAAGTTATACAGATGGCAAATGACTACCTGAAAAGAGGCCCACTATTATATAGTATTAAGTTACTGAAAATTAAGACAATGAGATACCATCACACACTTATCAGATAGGCCAAAATCCAAAACACTTACAAATGCTGGTGAAGATGTGGAGAAAGAGGAAATACTCATTCATTGCTGGTGAGAATGAACACTGGTATAGCCATTGTGGAAGACGGCATGATAGTTTCTTACAGAGCTAAATATGCTTATATTATTACAGTAAAAGACACAACAGCATTCACCATACTTTTTATCACATCTTGTAAAGACACACATGAAAGGATTTCCAGAACCGCTTCAGAAAGTGGCAAGAACATAGGATAAGTGTGTTTGAGGAGAGGGGAAATATTTTAAGGGATATTAATGGCAATGTGTCATTTACTGTAATAACTTTTTTAAAAAATTAAACATTCACAGTGTATTTTGATCATACTTTGTACATCTAACGTTTTCTATGTCTCCTGTTTGCATCAAGACACCATATTGAGTGATTGACTTGTCCCATCTATGCTTGTGAGTATAATTCAATGATGTTCATGCAATGATGCAGTTGCCTAATGATACATTTCTCAGTGCTTCCTTGTCCCTAAGCAACACATGACTACTCAAGCCAAACATGACAAGAAAAGAAAAAGGCAAAGTATATGGAACATAGAAAACACTTAGTTAGGTAGTAGATTTAAACCCAACTACACAGATAATTAAAATAACTAGTTTAAAGAATACAATTAAAAGTATTATCAGACTTGATTAAAATGTAAGGTCCAAAAAAAAAAGTAAGGTCCAAATTTATGCTGTCTACAAAAAAGTCACTTTAAATATAAAAATGGTAAAAAGTAAAAGGATTAAAAATTATGTATCATGCAAACGTTAAAGACAGGAAAACTGAAGTGGTTGTATTAATATCAAAGTAGAATTCAACATGGGAACTATTATTGCACATACAGAGACATTTATAGTAATAAAAGTCAATTCACCACAAAGAAATAACAGTCTTCATTAAAAGAATCATACCACAGTGATATATGTGCACCCATGTTCATAGCAGCCAGTTTGTGATAGCTAAAACTTGGAAACAGCCCAAATGCCCATCAACTGGAGACTGGATAAAGAAAATGTGGTTTTTAAAAATAAAATGGAGTACTACTCAGCCATAAAAAATGAGAAATTAGAGACATTTATAGCTAAGTGGATGCACATTGAGGCGATACTCTTAAGTGAAATAAATAGGACACACATGTATAAACACTGAATAGTTTCCCTGGTGTGAGAAACTGAAAGTGTAAATAAAGACTAAAATGTGTAATAGGCAATGTGAAATAGGAAGAAAAGGGGCAAAGGGGAAGGAAGTGGGAGGGCTAGGGGAAAGGAAAGAAGGGAATGGGATTAATAGGAGAAAATGGAAAAATAGGAACAAAATCTTTATAAAGAGGAATGAAGGGGTTGAAGGGAGGGCTGGGCAAGGGTGAAAAATAAGAACCAAGAGAGATTATGCAAAGGTCCAAATTTCCAATGAGGAATGTCATTATATTGTATACCTAAAATGCACCAATGATTAGAATGAATAATCGATAATGTAAAATAGGAAGCAAAGGTCCAAAGGGGTAGGGGTAGTGGGAGGGGCAGGGGAAAGGAAAGGAGGGAAATGAAAAATGATGAGAAATGGAAAAAATGGAAATAAAGTCTTTGTAAATAGGGAAGGGTGGAGGGGGTGAAGGGAGGACTAGGAATGGGGAAAAAATAAGAACCAAGATGCATTATGTAAAGGTACAATTCCCAATGAGAAGTGTAATTGTGTTGTATACCTAAAATGTACCAATAAAAGAATTTAACAACAAAAAAAGAAATAACAGTCTTCGATGTGTATGTACTAAAGAAATAGCTCCAAAATATGTAAAGTAACAAATCAAAGAACTCAAAGGGAGAATAGAAAAACTTATAATTATATTTGGAAATTTCAATATCCTTCTCAATAATTCATGGAACAAGTAGAAATAAATCAATAAATAAGTAAAATATTTGATCACTTCTATCAACTGGCTTGATCTCACTGATGTTTATATACTACTACACAATAGCAGAATACACATTCTTTTCAAGTGTGTATAAAACATTCAAGGGATAACATACACTAAGCCAAAGCAAAACTCAAACTATCTAAATGAATCAAAATAATGCAAAGTATATCTTTTGATTATAATAAAATTAAACTAGAAATAAATAAAGGGAAGATATATGGGAAATCCCCAAATTAAACCACACACTTAACTGTACAATGAATAGTTAAAGCGAATCATGATAAAATGTTTTGAACTAAGTGAAAATGAAAGCAAAACACATTAAAATGTGTGGAAATTGAAATTAAAAAATTAAAATGATTGAAAACTTAGATGAAATGGACATATTCTTTGAAAGATTCAAATAACCAAAAGTGATTCAGAAATAGATGATTCTTATCCAATCAACATAGCCCTGATCCATTGAATGCTACTGAAAACCAATGGTTTAGCTTTGATTTTATCTAACATGTCAGTGAACCAAAATCATAGAGGAGTTAAACAGGATTAGACTGCCCAAATAAAGCCAAACAACTTACTGAATAATAAAATATACAATTACAGTTGTTGATTACCATATCACCAAACAAATCTCCAAAGATCCTTTTCACTGACTTGACTGAAAAACTTGAATCAGTTATAGAATTATATAAAAATAGTCTTCAAGATTCAGAAGTGAGGCACTGTCAGTTGGCTTACCCAACACCCATTCCCAATAGCCCTCTTCCTTGCTTACTTTCAGAGCCCCCCTTACAGCTAGGTAATGGTGGCACATACCATCCTTACCATTCTGGCAAATAAGTACAGTAAGTCCCTGACTTATGAACATTCAAGTTGTGAACTTTCACAGATACCAATGGACCGACCTCACATTACGTGGATGCAAGCAAACTGTGGAAGTAGCTCACATGTCTATTGGACACTGTCATAGTTGTACTGCTGTGTGCTTACTGTAAAGAGTGATAGTGTACAGTAGTACAGTGCTCAGTCAGAGCCCAGGATGTCTGGAAGAGGAAAAGCAATGGTGATGTGGAGGTTTGGTTTTTTATGCTTCACACTGTACATTTGTGTCAAAGGTGTATAAGACTTATTTTATTAGACTTACAAATGAATCTGACTTATGTTCTCCTGGAACAAAACTCATTCGGTAATTTGGAGACTTACTGCATAAGCAGATATCTGTTAGGATGGGGAAATATCTTGCTAAAATGAGGATCAATGTTCACCAGTAGCCATCTTACAAATGAAAAAAATTAAAGACAGCAGACCTGACATTAATGAGGTGTGAATCAATAATTAACTCCCTCTTGATTCTGTTGATGTTCTGAGAAAAAATTTTCTATTTTTTAAAATGATTATAAGTTGGGTTTTCATTTACTTGCAGCCATACAGTGTTTTGATAGAACACTGTGATGTATTTATATAACTCTCAAAAAGCAACCTTGGCAAAAGGGAAGTTCTTTCTTCAACTGGCTGTAAAATTCTAGCACCATCCATTAGCATCAATGAACCAGAATTGTTTTATCAATAGACAATAATAACAATAACAGCAGCAGCAGTACTATCTGGTAAAGATAGGGCTCAAAGAAAGCAGGGGTTTCATGCTTTCTTTTGGCCACTGCAAAAACAGTATGCCAATGTGAGAAGCCCTTACATCAGAATCTTTGTGTCTAGGCTGTCATTCTCCATGTAGCACATGGAATTTCATTAAGCAC